ACTCTCAAACTACTAGGCCAAATGACACCAAATTTTAATAGAAGCTAGATACATGAATTATCTACAACTTTTGTATAAACAAGTTTCACAACAAAGCACATTATCATGAAGAACTTTGCTAATTTCCCAGATCTGTCCATAAACCACATCGGCAAGAAAATAATTATTAACTTATGTTGCAAACACATAATAGGGCAAAACCAACTTTACCAACATGTCACACATGACTAAAGAACACCAAAAAACCAAGTGTCCATGACCAAATAAATTCTTTTAATACATTTCTTAATTTATTTTAAATGATAAGGTGACTTCATGAACATATACCAAAAGTGCACAATAACTTCTACAAAAATTACAGTGGCTCACATATACTCTCAATAGTCTAATGTACAAATTTTACTCCATTTGAATAGGTATAGCAACCTCTATGAAAAGGACAAGTTGCTAAAGCAAGAAATCATGTGAGAGCAAGATAAACCAATAACTCACTCATGCAGCAACCAATGACCATGAAATTTTTACCACACATCAACTATCACATGAGTAGCATGCCACAAAAATTTCACTTCATTTGGAGCCCTAGATCTGCAGTTATGGAAAATAACAAATTCAACTAGCATTACAACCTTACTGCACAAATCTATTTTTACCGCAAAATATTTAAACTAAAATATGCCATATTATAGATCTAATGCATAGAGAATTTCACAAGGATTCCAAAAGTCCTCATTTGCTATTTTACGAATTTCCTATGAATTACTATGAATTTCCAAAGATTCAGCAAATTTACTGCAAATAGGTCCTCAATGGCACTATTCATATGAGTCGGTGGTTATGCACTTAGGCCCTCCCTTTACTCAATTTGAGCCCGAGGTCCTCCACGCGAGGTTGAAACAGAGGATCTTGGAATTGACCGGTGGCGGAGAAGAAGGGCCGACGGCGGCGCGGGGAATGGTGGGGAAGCACCAAGAGGTTGGTGCACACTCGTGGTGGCAGCATTGACTTGCTCATGGAGGCCCGACGCTTGGCTCAGCCACGCACGCCGGCTGACTGGGACGGCGGGCAAGAGGCAGCACTGGCACATGGGCGTGGCATGGCCGACGGGGGAGTGCAGGAGGGGCGGCATGGTGAGAGGAAGGTGGTCCTGCGGTCCATTTGGGTGGATGGAGGCAGTAGGAAAGGAAACGCGGCGGCAGCCCGGAGCTCGACCGGAGGCGGCGGCTTATCGGCGGTGGTGCTCGGTGGCCGATGGCTTAAGCGAAGCGCGTATGAGGAGGTGCAACACGACGAGGCAAAGGTGGTGGTGCACGTGGGCTGCGCCATGGGGGCTTAGGAACAGGGCAAGGACGCGGCGCAAGCGAAGTCTTGAGTCGCCGCCATGGCGACGACCAACACGGGAGCGAGGAGAGCGCGAGAGAGAGGGAGGCGTGGGGTAGCTCTGGCGCACGGTTTTGGAGGAGCAGAGGGCGAGGTGGCGCGTGGCCGGAGGTGGGACGCGCGGCAGCGGCGGGGGCGCATGGCGGCCACGTTCACAACACGCGTCGCCGTACGGGCATTTCCCCAAGCACGTGGCGGGCGTCGGTGTGGGCAAAATGGGCGCCGGATTGGGCCAGATCTGGGCCTATTTAGACCTCGGGCCCAAAACAAAGTTTGAAGCCCGTGAACTGCTCTACATTTTGTATTTAAAGTGTACAGTCATTAGAGTTGTAGATTAGCGGTTAATCAAGTCCAAAGTTGACACTGTCAACAACTTAATAAGGATTAAGCCTTGCTCGGTTAGGACTTCAATTTGTTGGTCAAAACATGATCAAACTTGACCCAACTTTTTAAATGCTCTTCTCTAATGAAATATCTCCAACTTCTATTTTTGGATCAAAGCTGATGCTTAATAAAAACTCGAGAACGTGGCATGCCAACCTAATGACAATGAATTCCATACTTGGAATAATTCTAAGTGCTGAAAAGAACAGCAAATTCAATCTTGTGACCTCGATTTGACTTACTTCCAAGCTGATCTAGCTCTTAGTCCAAAAACAAAGTTTGTTCTACAAGATATGGACTACAACTTTCATTTAAGGTCCAACCTCAAAACTGGTATAGAACCTACTGTTCTACTTTGACCAATGTAGGATCACGATGAAGCTTAAATTATCCTTTTTGATCCATTGGAGCATTTTCGTGGTATTTGCCCAACATGAACCTTTCATGACTTTTGTTGTTGAGTTCATCTAGAGTCATTTTGGCAAGGTTACAAGGTTTGGTTGACATTTCATGTTCTCATTCACTTAATAGTGCAATTCAAGCACTTAGTAAAAATCATTCCAACAAGGATATAACTTATCATTTCATGTGACTTTTTGATTCCAAACTTCATGAAACTTTTCGAGTGCCCAATATAGATGGGTATTGATGTGAGACACATGAAGATATCCCAATCACACCATCCAAGCATATATCTTAAAAAAGGGGTCTATAGGCGTGCAAAGGTGCAATATCCAAGTTTAGGTTGGGGCTCGTTTCTATAGGTTTGACCTTGACATCTTCATCATCACTTAATATGCCATATTTGAGCTCAAACCCATTGCTTAACTGGTGGCAAACACCTGGGGTGTTACTGTATTCATGGGAAATAAATCTTGGACAAAACATGGACACTTTTTGGTGCGACATTCCAACATGGGTCCATCGTCCTGCCAATATCCTTGAGGCAGATCACATAAAGGATGAGAGTCCCTCTATGAGATTGCTCACAAGAGACTCAAACTTATATTTGATCATGGTAATGTTGAATTGCTTTGCATCAAAAGCATCGGCAATAATAAACGGGGACATAAATTTTAGTATGCATAGTGGAGGAAAACTCAACCTTGGCCTTCTCAGCAGCTTTTCTGAGCCTTTGCAGTGCTAACTTGTCCTTACTCAGATAGTCAAGAGGTGCACCATAAAATTATGCACCACTAAGAAAAGTGTCACCATTGGTTGCCTTGACCTAAAAAATATGTCGAAATTAAGAATTACAATACCTAATTCAACATCTTGGAACAGACACTCAAGTGGATACCTTATTCTACAATATATGTCTGTGTCGAATAGTCCTAAAGCCACACATATTTATACGGTGAGTATAACATACTTTGTTTTAAAATTTTATGAGAGATTTTTTAAGACACGTAGTATTATCCATGTGACAGGCACTAATATTTATATATATACTCGAACCTGTGTGTACATGATTATATGGAGATGCAGCGGAACTTATTCATGGATTTATTGGCGCATGAAAGAAATTTATATCGGAGAATTCTTTCTGCCGATATAAAATATTATCTTAGCCATATCACGAAAAAGTCTATACAGTAGAGTTTGTGAGCATGCGACGTCGCGCTCTCTGTGACTGTGTTAATTTCACGAACTTTGCTTTTTGAATTAAATGTCACTTTAACGTCGGTATTTAATTTAACAGTATTGTTATCTTATCGTGCGATCTGTGTGTTTTTAGTATAAAAGATTTAGTTGTCCCGTAACAACGTACGAGCACGCTACCTAGTCAGAACATAAAGTCAATAGTATGGCCATATGCCTCAATGCAATTGAACACATCGTATCTGTGGCTCTGCCTGTTGACTCCGCTATAGAGTTACAACTTCAGGTGACAGGCTCATTAACTTTTATAGATTTGTGCTCATGTCCCTTTGACGGTGGCCCACATAATACCAATATATGACTCAAAACTTCATCTACTCATACGGGCCTAGAGTCGGTCACAAGACTTAGACCCATCGACTAACAAATGAGCCCACAACCCAAATAAACAAACGGTTTGGTCCCTTGTTCCTCCCCCGTCCATTCAAACTTGCTTGATTCATGAGAGCCCACAACCCAAATAATCGCTTCGGTCGTTTCTTCCTCCTGTGTTCATCCTAACTTGCTCGATTTATGGCCATATGCCTCATTGTTACTACACGCATCGTCTTCGTGGCTCTGCACGTCGATACCTCTATAGAGTTACGACTTGGGGTGACGAAGCTCATTACCTTTTGATGGCAATGAGAGATAAGAGTTGTGCTCATGTCCCTTTGACGATGGCTCATGTATTGCCAATATGACTCAATACCTCATCTACCTGTGGGGATCTAGAGTCAGTCACAAGGCTTGACCCATCGACCATCGACCAACAAATGAACCCACGACCCAAATAAATGGTTCAGTCCTTCTTCCTCCCGCATCCATTCAAACATGCTCGATTCATGACTCATGAGAGCCCACAACCCAAATAATCGGTTTGCCTCTTCTTCCTCTGGCGTCTATTCAAACTTGCTCGATTCATGATGAGCCCACGGCCCAAATAAACGGTTAGGTCTCTTCTTCCTCCCGCGTCCATCCAAACTTGCTTGATTCATGGCGGCAACCATCGGAAAAGAACCTGGAGAAGTGGAAGAATGTGATATTCGTAGCAGAACCAGAGCACGCCAGACCTTTTCCTATCCACTCATCTGCCATTGATCATCAAACTATCTTAGACGCCCGCTTATATATAGTAACATACATACTAACATACTATCAAGTATCAACACTTGCCTCTTAGCTATCTGTGTACAACAATGGTGTTCACCTAGCCTCTCTTGGTGGGGTATCCATTTCCATTTCGCACACACTCTTCTGAGAATTTCAACCCAAATGCACCGAGCCCTTCGTATCGTCTGCGCCGCTCCGTCCAACCACCTTTCCGCCTCTCCTCCTCTCTCCTCCACTTTCTGTCTCTAAAACTCGGCCCCTCTCTCTCTCTCTCTCTCCCCCTGACGGAGTGCGAGTGGGAGCGAGCGGCGGCAGCAGCAGCCACGGCCCCTGTCGCCGTGTGGTGTGCCGTGCGTGCCCCCTCTCCTCTCCTGTCCCCCCTCCCGCTACCACCCAAAACCAAGCAGGCGCACGCACACGCCAGGCCTGGGCACCACCACTGCCTTCCCTCGCCCGGAGCCAAGAAGAATCCCCACCCCCAAATGCCTTCCTCCTCCCCCTGCTACCGCCGCAGCGTCCTCTTCCTGGCCCTCCTCCTCTCGGCGTGCCTCTCGGCGCCGCGGGCGGCGAACGGCGCCGGGGGAGCCCCCGGCGGCGGTGGAGATGCCGCGGCAATGCAGGCGCTGCGGCGGGCCCTGGCGCCGCCGGGCTGGGGCTCGGGCGCGGACCACTGCGCGTGGCGCGGCGTCACCTGCTCCCCCGCCGCCGCCGGCGCGGTCACCGCGATCGAGCTGCCGCGCCGGGGGCTCCGGGGGGACTTCTCGGCCGCCGCCGCGCTCCGCGCGCTGGCGCGCCTCGACCTCTCCGCCAACTCGCTCAGCGGCGCCCTCCCGCCGGCGCTGGGCGCGCTCGCCCGCCTCGAGTTCCTCGACCTCTCCATGAACGCGCTGACGGGCGCCGTGCCGGCTGCGCTCGCCGGCGCGTCGGGGCTCCGGTTCCTGAACCTCTCCAACAACGCGCTGTCCGGCGGCATCCCCGACGAGCTGAGGGCGCTCAGGGCGCTCCAGGAGCTGCAGATTTCGGGGAACAACCTCACGGGCGCGCTCCCCGGCTGGCTGGCGGGGCTCCAGGCGCTCCGCGTGCTGTCCGCCTACGAGAACGCGCTGTCCGGCCCGATCCCGCCGGGGCTCGGGCTCTCGTCGGAGCTCCAGGTGCTCAACCTCCACTCCAACGCGCTCGAGGGGAGCATCCCCGGCAGCCTCTTCGAGCGCGGCAACCTGCAGGTCCTCATCCTCACCCTCAACCGCCTCAACGGCACCATCCCCGATGCCATCGGCCGCTGCCGCGGCCTCTCCAACGTGCGCATCGGCGACAACCTCCTCTCCGGCGCCATCCCGGCGTCGGTCGGGGACGCCACCAGCCTCACCTACTTCGAGGCCAACACCAACGACCTGTCCGGCGGGATCCCCACGCAGTTCGCGCGGTGCGCCAACCTGACGCTGCTCAATCTGGCAAACAACCGCCTCGCCGGCGAGGTGCCGGATGTTCTCGGCGAGCTCAGGAGCCTGCAGGAGCTCATCGTGTCTGGCAACGGCCTCGGCGGCGAGTTCCCGAGATCGATCCTGCGGTGCCGGAACCTCAGCAAGCTCGACTTGAGCTACAATGCTTTCCGTGGTGACTTGCCGGAGAACATCTGCAACGGGTCACGGATGCAGTTCCTTCTGCTCGATCACAATGAGTTCTCCGGAGGCATTCCGGCAGGGATTGGGGGCTGTACCCGGCTGCTCGAGCTGCAGCTCGGTAACAACAACCTCAGTGGTGAAATTCCAGCTGAGATAGGCAAGGTGAAGAGCCTGCAGATTGCGCTGAACCTTAGCTTCAATCACTTTACTGGGCCGCTGCCCCATGAGCTTGGGCGGCTTGATAAGCTTGTCATGCTGGACTTGTCGAGCAATGAGATATCCAGTCAGATCCCAGGTGATATGAGAGGGATGCTGAGCTTGATTGAGGTCAATCTGTCAAATAACCGGCTCAGCGGTGCCATACCGGTTTTCGGACCGTTCCAGAAGAGCGCGGCCTCCAGCTTCTCCGGCAACGCCAAGCTGTGTGGCGACCCACTGAATGTGGACTGTGGATCAATTTATGGCTCCAATTATGGAATGGACCACAGGGGGATATCTTACAGGGTGGCTTTGGCAGTTGTTGGTTCTTGTGTGCTCATCTTCTCACTGGTGTCATTGGTGGTGGCATTGTTCATGTGGCGTGAGAGGCAGGAGAAGGAGGAAGAGGCAAAGAAGGCCGAGGCAGGGGAGGTGGTGGTGGCAGCCCCGCAGGTCGGGGCCTCAGCCGTGTTCATCGAGAGCTTGCAGCAGGCCATTGATTTCCAGAGCTGCATGAAGGCGACATTCAAAGATGCGAATGAAGTGAGCAACGGAACATTCAGCACTATCTACAAAGCCGTCATGCCGTCTGGCATGGTGGTGTGTGTCAAGAAGCTGAAGTCTGTGGACCATGCGGTCATCCATCAGCAGGAGAAGATGGTCCGAGAGCTCGAGCGCTTTGCCCACATCAACCACAAGAACCTGGTCCGGCCGATTGGCTTTGTCATCTATGACGACGTCGCGCTACTGCTGCACCACCATATGCCAAACGGCACCCTGCTTCAGTTGCTGCACAATGGTGGTGATACTGATGGCGAGAAGCAGAAACCTGACTGGCCAAGGCTGCTATCGATTGCCATTGATGTCGCCGAAGGGCTGGCATTCCTCCATCAGGTTGCCACCATTCACCTCGACATTTGTTCAGGGAACGTCTTCCTTGACTCGCATTACAATGCGCTTCTCGGTGAAGTTGAGATCTCCAAGCTGCTGGACCCTTCAAAGGGCACGGCCAGCATCAGCACGGTTGCGGGCTCATTTGGTTACATTCCTCCAGGTCTAAACTCTGTCCAACATTTGGTAGCTATACTAGAAGTAGTTCTCTGGATGTCTACAACCATGAACAATCGTTTGCCTTTTTGCAATTGGTTCCTTGCAGAGTATGCCTACACGATGCAGGTGACGGTGCCCGGCAATGTGTACAGCTACGGGGTGGTCCTGCTGGAGATCCTGACATCCAAGCTACCCGTGGATGAGGTGTTCGACGAGGGCGTGGACCTCGTCAAGTGGGTGCACGCCGCACCGGCGAGGGGTGAGACGCCGGAGCAGATCATGGACCCCCGGCTGAGCACCGTGTCGTTCGCGTGGCGCAGGCAGATGCTCGCTGTGCTCAAGGTCGCAATGCTGTGCACGGAGCGCGCCCCGGCGAAGCGGCCCAGGATGAAGAAGGTGGTGGAGATGCTGCAAGAGGCCAAGAACAGCTGAGTGATCATCTGTTTCTCTGCTGAATGGCTGCGGTTGGTCGCCTGCTTGCATTGGAAGCTGAGCCGAGCCTCTAAAACCCAAAAAATTTCTGGTCAGTAGCGTTTGATTCTCTGTATATATTCGGTAATTAGTACCCTGATTATGCGCCATGTATGGCTGGATGTTGGATCTTGGAGCATCAAAGTACAATGCTGCTGCAGGCTTGCAGTGCTGCTACCTGCAACTTGCAAGTGAAGGAATGTCTCGTATACATAGGAGAGTTTTATTTTCATTTTCTTTTTTGGAAAGAAGTGATGTCGTCCCCTTGAAGAGGTGGTTGGTTGTGCTGGTGCACTGAAGTCTGAAGTCTGAAGGTGCCGTTGTCCTTTGCAGTTAGGGTGTTCTTCTCTAGGAGACCCTGGCCCATGGCGACGTGGCAGGGGATGGCCTCTGTCTGCTGAGGAATCGTCTCTCTGTTAATCCATAGTATTTTTTATTTGGAAGAAGAATATATGTTGCATAGAAAATTTATTGCATTTTATTTTATTCTAGGCTGCTGCTACATTGAAAACTTTAGGGCATGTCAGCATTGTAGCTTGAATGTTGCAACTTCTAAAACTTTAGCCACTAGTCCTCTTCAGAGAGAATTTAGTAGCTGTTAAAATTTTTGAACTTGCTAATAAATTGTTAGCATTATAACAGTCGTGGGACCCACTTGTCAGAGACTAGGTTTATCTTCCCAATTTGCAATGGACGACAAAACTAACCATTGTTAGGCATAAATACGCCGAAAAATAACCATCTTTGTGCTTGCTATCCTATTAGCAAGTTCTAAACGTCATTGTATCACGATCAATGAGAGTTATGAACCACTAGGTAGCTCTGGCAGCACTGTAGACGATGGGAATAGTTGAGGAAAGCGACCAGAGCTTCTGGGCCGTCCAAATCACGCTATTGAGTGATCAACACCTTGGCACTTGCTCAGCTTCAGAATCAGATGCCACCTCTACTACGAGCAGCAAAGTGATGGCGACCTTCTACGGCAGCCATCCATGATTGGGCACATCACTTGGGCATCACGTACTGCTATGCTAAACAACAATTGCAAGACAATGATGTGTCATGAGCTATGTTTATCATGTGTCTGTCGAATTGAAAAATCCTTGTCAAAGAAAGGAGAGCAGGGGAGCTCCATCTGTTGCAACATCATAATTTTTTAGGTTGTCCATGTCGATTATACAAGTTTGTCAAACATTAATGTTCCAAGTGTCAAATGTAGAAGAACATCGCAAGAAGGCTACTGTGCTCTTGTGCTTTTCAACCTCCCTTCAGATGCTATTCTCTGATGGTGTGGATCCTGTGGTCATGGAGCTAGACTTCACCGGGTTGGAGCACGATGCTTTGTAGCCGCAGGGTTCAGCGTGGGACGTTGCGTCGCTAGCTGATACTACTTTGATGTTTGCCGCCGTGCTAGTAGGTTTTGTTATCGTGAAGGGCGCGTTCGGCTGGTCTGAAAGTTTCAGACCAGCCGACTGGTTCGGCTTGTTCCCCTCACGTGCTACAGTGCATCTTTCAGCCGCTACAGTGTTTCTCTCTCACAAAACCAGCCGCTACAGTGTTTTGGCTTCTTTTTTCAGACAAGCGAACGGGGCCGAAGTAGCTTGTTTGTAATCACAATCGCGCGAGCTCAGGGTGCGTTTGGCCCGGTAATCAAGCAATTACCATCTAAACTTTGTATTTTTTTTTAGAATTACACGGTATATACTTCTGCTTAATGTAAAAGCTGCCTCGGCACGGTCGCGAAAAACTTTTTTAGAAAAAAAAAGAACAGCATACACAAATCAAACGGACCCAAGGTGACCAACATGGGCCGGGTCTACACTCTACACGGCAGCTTCCCAGCAATATCTGGTTTTTCAGCAACGGGCGAGGGCTTCTGAAAGAATCAGCCCACCGGGGCCCATCTTCTCAACAAGTCATCCTGGCCTGTGGGCTGTGGCCTCTGAGAAATTGAGAATCCTTTCCCATCACTCTTGCAGCGTCCACGTGTCTAATTTCTATTGGAGACGGGTCCCAACCCGCTGCGAAATTACCATTTCCTTTCCCCAAGGACCCCAACAGATCCCCCGCTTCCCCCCGCAACCGCGTCGGCGATGGCATCCTCCGCGGCGGCGACCGGCGACGGCGAGAAGCCGCACGCGCACCTAGGCCAGCCCCTCCTCGCGCCGCCGCATCCCGCTCAGCAGCCCTACTACGCCTATCCGGCCGCCTCCTACGCGCATCCCTCCCCGCCGCCGCCGGCCCCGACGCTCGTCTTCGTCCCGGTCCTGGCGCCCTGCTCCCCGGTGCTCGTCCGCCTCCGCCGCCTGCGCCCGCGCCGCGCGCCCTGCCTCCGCCGCCTCTGCACGCGGACGCTCCCGCTCCTCCTATTCCTCGCGCTCCTCGCGGGCGCCGCCTTCCTCCTCTACCCGTCCGCGCCCGCCGCCCGCGTCGCCGACCTCCGGGTCGACAGCTTCCGCGTGCAGCCGCCGGTCCTCGGCCTCGGCCTCGCGCTGCGGCTCCGCGTCCGCAACCCCGGATTCGTCCTCCCGCTCCGCTACCGCTCCGTCTCCGCCGCCGTCTCCTACCGCGGGCACCTGCTCGGGTCCGCCAAGGCGTGGCCCGGATCCGGCGAGCTTGCGGCCAGGCATGAGGTCTATGCGGATGCCCAGGTGTGGGTGGACGCCGGGAGGGTGCTGGATGATGTGATCGAGCTCATCGGGGACGTGGCCGCGGGGTCAGTGCCGCTGGAGATCGTCTCTGAGGTTGTCGGCTCGATCGAGGTGTTCCGTTTCCACATCCCTGTGAAGGTAATTACGTGTTCTCGCGATAGATTGTTTACGGACTTTGTTATCCCGTTACCAATAGTTTGCTCAGCAGTTAAGACCGATGCCTTCAAAGACTGGGGCTTTGGAATTGGGTTAGAGAATTTCCTAACACTTAAGGACATGGAATGCTATAACTTCAACATTTTTAGCTGCTGGATCTGTTTATAAGTATTACTGAATTTGTAGTATTTTTTTAACTTAAATTTGTAGTAAAACTGAAGGATTTGCATTAGGTTAATCAGGGTCCGGATTCAACTTTTCTGGGTATAGCATCTGAGCTCTTATCGTGGATTGAATCATCTGAATTGCTGAACGGGATTTGCAATTTTGCATGATCATAAGGACTTCTACGTTCACCTGAGATGTTAATAGTGATATTGCTTCATTTTTTTAATGGTTCCTAGCTTTCGATGATGATATTGGTTGTGAGCTTGTGATTGAATTTGGATTGAAAATAATTGAATCTGGATTGAAAAGAATTGGAAAGATTAGTGGTATGGATACTTTATTCAAAGTATAGGCAGTGATAGCTCGGATGTGGGATGGACAACTGGAAAATAGTTCTTTCGTTCCATATGATATGTCCCTAGCATCTGTATGGACAGCACCATCATACTTTGTGGTAAGCGAATATGGAATAGGGTTCACTGGCATCTCCTTTCTTGTCATAGTTCTTTGGCTTGGCATTTCCATGTTAATAAAAGTAAGGAACTTATTTATTTCAACCTTCTTCTTTCTATATTTGTGAGAATAATCTAATTTTTATATGACCAATAATGCATCTGTGTTTTTATGCTGTCCCTCTATTCAGATAAATCTGTTAGTTTGCACGTAAATGTATCGGAGGTTGTAAGGGAACTGTCATAAATAGTTATTCGAAGGGCGGGCCTGGTGCAAGCGGTAGAGTCTTACCGCCTGTGACCGGAAGGTCCCGGGTTCGAGTCGCGGTCTCCTCGCATTGCACAGGCGAGGGTAAGGCTTGCCACTGACACCCTTCCCCAGACCCCACACAGAGCGGGAGCTCTCTGCACTGGGTACGCCCTTTTTTTTAGTGCAAATATGGATCCAACAAATTCGGGTGAGTCCATTTGTACAATTATGGATTTGTTGGATGCCTTTGTTAGTCTGTCTACCTCCATTGTACATTTGTGCTAACAACACAGTTTTAGTCCTGAAGGGTAGGTATATCTCAGAGTATTTGCGTTGAATGTGGTTTAGTCTATATATGAATGTGGCCTTAGGCAAGTTTGTTCTAACATAACAATCAGGCTCATTACAAAGAGTGTTTTTTTAATGACAATATAAATATGGGAACTAATTACACAGATGTTAATTGCAAGGAACAGTACCATAAACTGCCATTGAAGAATTATTAACATAAAGTAGTCAATCATATGATTGAGCTGGTGCCAAAAGGGTGAAGGAAACAGGATGGTGGACAAATAAGAGTCACCAAAGGATCGAACTACTATCTCAGAATCGATATTGCCCTAGAATGCTTGCTGTCGACACTTCAAACTTCGATTACTAACAAACAAGTATCTGTATGCCATATGGAAAGGTACTAGTAGATTTATCATCAAATGTTGTCTTTTTTCTGATTTTATAAATATTTTGCTAAACAATTTGATTAGGATAATGCAGAAGTACTCGGCCATGTAGTTTTTTCCATGAAAAGGTGCCTCCAGATTTGTTAGAGGCTTGCACTATTACAGTAGCTAGAAGATGAGATGGTGATTTCAATTTTGAAATTTAGCATAAATTGGATGTCACATTTGTGGTGATGATTGTACATGTGCCAACGTGGGAAAGACATTCTAGATTGGATAGCTAACTGATGCAAGATTTGAGTTCCCTGAAACAGAGTCATTTGAAAAATTGCGAGGATTGCTAGAATGCGAAGAATATATTCAAAAGAATTGGAATGTGTTGAGTCATTAAAAAGCAGAACAGTAAATATATAGCTCCTGAAGTATCAAATGTACTCTACTCTTAAAAGTTTGTAACATAGAAGCTATTGTTAGATGATGTTTGTACTTTATAAGGGAGCATTAGTTTGCTCATCCTTTTTTATTTCAATCTCTCACGCTTCCCATTTCTTAATGAAAATCTAAATATTAAGCTGTACTCCAGAGTCCAGAGCAAAATGCATTAGCATGTTTCTTAATGAAAAACTCTGCCGTCTTGCCATTTCAGAGTATTCATGTTTGCCATTTAGTTGTTAAAATAGTAGTGTTGGTTTCTTAATGCAGCATCTCACTTTGTATGTTTGCGTTATATGTTTTTGATGCAATTCTCATGTGTGTCAAACCTCTTAACACTCCTGCTGTTACAGGGGCTCATATCATGCTCAGTAAATATCAGCCCAGAGACTCAGAGAATCATAAGCCAGGATTGCTATTAAGGTAATGACCTTATGTTCTGTACAATTTGTTATATACAATCCTTAGTTGATTTATGCAAGTTAGGAGTTGTACTATCAGGATCATGTTATGAATCTTGTGTCTTTTTCTGCAGTGCGAATGCTCTGAGGCTACCTGTCCCTGAAGATATTGTAAAACTGCAGAGCCTGCTCGATGGACCTGAAGTATCTATCTGTATGTATAATCTGGATATTGTATTGTGTTACGTGTAGGCTGGAATAATAAGTAACGAATAACATGTTGTTGGACCACAGGTATATGTTGTCTTGTAGTACATATCAGAACTGCCTATGTCTATTTGTAACTGGTTGATGCCACCTTCACCCATATGTGCCATAGCATAGAAGTTAATCATGGTGTATGATTTTACTAGGTCATGTATGGTGGAGGTTGGCAGCCTGGCAGGTAACTTATGATTTGTGGTATTTGAATTGAAGGATGTGATAACTGAAAGATTGGTGCAGTTGATATTTTCGTGACATTCAACCACCACTAGAGGATTTTGCATCGAAGATCCAACAGCTGCTTCTGGTGGGCGGTGATCAACATATTTGGTCCAGCAAGCTGGTACTGGTACTATAGACCATGCTGAGCAAGTCAGTATGAAATGAATGGTTTCTGATACTGAGATCATGTAGCTTGAGGTACAGAATTTAGGGCATGTACAGTCCAGTGAGGGGTTAACATTTTCTCTTACCGCCACCTAAAACAGAAATAAACTTAGATAAGACTGATGCAAAGGTTGATCTTGCTCCAACTCTAACTGTGGAACCCTATGTAAATAAATAAAACAAAAGATAGTGGCCACTGGTTCAATTGTTGGCCAGCCTAGGAGAGAAATTGTAGCAAGTAATTTCTTTATTATTCGGCTTCAATTGTTTAGTGTCTTCTTTCATCGGCTCCTGAACTTGATCCAGCTCTAGAATCCTTTTCTTAGCTTCTTATGTGTGCAACGGCGTAAATAGGAGGAGCTAGAAAAATGATCTGATCTTAGTGCCTCTTTGAGTCATGGCCGCATGGGCTGCACATGTCATTACACCCACCGTAATCCACTGATCGCATGTTCAGAATCAGAAGCTCTGTAGGACAAGATGGGCCCTGAATTATGGGAGGCCATGCGAGATTGTTCACTTGTTCACCTTACATGCATCATTCAGTGCACACAGTTGGGATAATGGTCATTGGTCATGTTCTGAAATCTGAATGATAATGGATGTGTGCTACAGGAAACACAATGGTAGTGTAGCTTGCCAAATAGGTGTGATCGTAGATCGTGGCATATTGGCATGTTTATGCTTTGGACATAATTGGAGTTACCTTTTGGAACGAGTTGCAGTCTGATGATATCCATGTCCGGTTGGATTTAGCTCCAGCGAAAGCTTTCACTGGTTCAGCAGCAAAACTAGAACTTCCCTCGGAGTTTCTAGTTCGTTAAGAACAATACCATTTGTCCCGCTTTCTTTTCCAAAACCACTCAGTGTCAACAGTGGTTTGGGGAGGGAATTTGCAGATAAAAAAGAAAGCAACACCATGAATTTCCATGTCGAGCAGCTTTCACTCCATGATGAATTTGCAGATCTCATACAAGAAAGGAAAACAGCAGCACCAGGTAATCAACAAAATACTTTGTTCGAAAATCCAATTTAAATAAAACAATATTATTTACCAATTTTATACCAAAATAATGGCAAGTTCTGATAGTACCAGTCCCAGTTACCACTAAAGCTGCTGCGGCTTATTCCGTAGTTAAGAAAAGGAATTACAGATACAAGAGACATATTATTCCTCACCACCCTGACAAAAATAAATAGGTCCATGATACAAGCTTGCGAGCATAACTTGGGCACAGCATTCCTCAGTTCTTCACGGTGGTGACATGCCTCAGAAGCATCTGAATGACATCTGGGGAGATGCTTGCAGCCTGCTGGTTGAGCTGTTCGATTTTCGCCGCCGTCTCTTCCTCGAGACGCTTGACGTTCGCACCAGAGTCACCACTGCTCTGTAGTAAAAAAAAAAGACACAGAAGTGAGGTCCTGTAATCCTGGGGGGAAAAGGGACAGGGGATGTGCAGGTGTGCATACCTCTGCGACCTTCCTCTGGAACTCAGCCTCCATCTGGGCACGGTATTCGGCTATTTCCCGCTCAGCCTCCTCTTTCGCTTGCTTAAGCCTCGCTGACTTAGCTATTGAACACAGGAAACATTCATGTTCATATGACAGAATATTAAGAGGGAGGGGGCTAAAATGGGTTGGCTTTTTATCTTCCTATTAGCTGACAATTTGCAAACAAGTTTAAAAGACATTTGTACAGCACATGATTCACAATGGAATATATTTTTGCTAATGGGACCGACAAAAGCAAGATTTCAACCTTTCTTTATCGTGACTTAGCTGTAGAACACACAAAAACATTAAAGTTTATACTGCAGTGAGAACATAGTCCTTATTACCTTTTAGCTCTGCTGTTACATTTCACCAGAAAACAGTTCATAGTTAAACATGCTTTTGCATATTGGAAAAAGAAAATTAAAACTTCTTTTTTCCCCTTTAGACTAAAGATTGCTTTGTGCAGAGTTGGACATTAAATGTATCATGATCTCAACTCAGGTAGCTATATGCAAATTTATACATTGTAAGTTCGGCGTGAGAGGGCATGGCCTAACAATCAGAACAGGTGCTGTATATTTGGTGGGAATTCTATAGTAATATCATGCCATTTTTTTTATACAGTTCACAAACAAAACAATACATTACCTTCACTCTCACTCTACAAGCATTAATTGAGGATCAGAGAATGATATCTAAGTGAATGGAACGAATTTATTCACAAGGCTGTTGCTGTCTAATGCTATGCTAGATTTGCAATGACTTGTACCAAAAAAAGATGAGGAAACAGTACCAGCTCTAGCCGCGTTCACAATTTGCTGAGCCTCCTGCTCCACAGCCAGTAGCTGCTGAATCCCACTCTGGCGCCTGTTCGCGTCCATCTCTCAGCTCCTGGGCAGAACAAACGTACCGTAATTCAGAATCAGAGACGGACCTCAACTGTTTCAGATCAAACGAAGGCGCGTAAACCTAAATCGCCACATTATGCCAGATGTCTACTTCCATGCCATTTTATCCAGATATATTGCGGCATGCAGGCAGAGGGACCAACAAATCCGCCGCGACGTATTAAAATTTACAAGAGCACGCATCGCAGTAGCCTGCCCGCCGAGAAAGATTTGGGATCCAGGGATCACGTCAGCGAACCGACCACGCACGGGACGGGATCAGCGATCCGCGCGGACAGAAGGGATCCCGGCACCGCGTCGAGAGATCCGCGAGAAGGAGAGAAGAAACGAAGGGATGTCGGCGCGGGGTTACCTGATCTGGATCGGGGCGTGCGGGCGGGCTCGGCGGCCGGAGCGGAGGGCGGTGGAGCGGGTGCGGAGATTGGGGGAACAAATCGCGTTCTCTGGAGGCGGGGGGAGGAGGACGGTGATTGGTGATCCGCGTATACAACGTGGCTCCACCTACACGGGAGCACGGGCGGACGGAACCGGTTTGGTACGGTCCACGGGGAGCTAGATCAGATTTGTATCCAAAACTTCTTTTGTGGAATCGAATGCGAATTGGAATATGGGGCAAACAAAAATCAAAATCAGAAGAGCGCAAACAATGGCCAATATTTCTCCAAAGACAAAAAAAAAATGCTCTCTTTTTTTCCTTTCAAGAAGTATTACACAAATAAATAAGATGCAATATTTTTTTTTGGGAATAGAACATGAATTGGAATATGAGGCAAACAAAAATCAAAATCAGAACATCGCAAACAATGGGCAATCTATTTATCTATATATATAACTAATGTTAAAGAGCGAATTAATTCTTTCATTCATCTTTCCTTTTAATCATATTTAACGATGTTCAAGAAGGCGCTAGACGGTATCTAGGCGATGACCCATGGCCTAGAGCCTAGGTGTTTTAACGTGTTTTCTAGGCGTTTTAATTTATATATACATTCATGTATATATTACCTTAAATTAAAAGAAGAAATAAGAAATATGTGGACTTAAGTTGGAAAGAAAGACCCGTAGAAAAAGCCCAGCCCACTTTATCCTCGTCCACCTTATCCATCCACCACCCTCCTCCTAACCGCACGAACCGGAGTCGCGACTCTGCTTTCTCTGCCTCCCTCCGTAACCGTGATTCCTTTGCCCGACGCCTCTGCTTCCGTCTCCGGCGATGACGGCCTCCTCCCTCCTTCTCCGGTGACGCCCACCTCCTCTCTCCTTATACGACGTCGTCCGCTAGCTGCACCTGCCTCTGCTCCCAGCCGCTCGCCGCCTCCCAGCTGCGCTCGCAGATCGCGTTCCTCCCGGCCGCGCCCTAGCCTCCCTCCTGTCGCCCGCGGCCTCCTGGCCGCGTTCGTGCCCGCCGCTAGCCTCCTCCCGGTGCGCTCACCGCCACCCGTCGTCCCTCCCGCAGGCAGGGAAGCCCTGGATCTGGGGGCATAGCGCATTTCCTCCGCCTACCCCCATAGGCGAGGCGGTGCCCCTCCGCCTAGCGCGTAAGCGCGCATAGGCGGGCGTCTAGCAGCGCCTTTTCGAACATTGATATTTAAGAATTTAATAGGGCAAACAATCAAACACATATGCATGTTATCGAGCACTTATAAGAGATTTACTTGTTAGTCCCTAGAAGTTGCCGCGGCATTTATTGTAGCCAGGATTAAATATATGAATAACTAGATACGTGCCCGTATGTTGCACCAGGGCTATAAATTTTTATCCACACCTACAACGATAGGTTTCATTATTTTTCAAAATAATAAAAAGTGAATAAATGATTTGGAACTCGAAACTATTTTCAAAACCATTCAGTGGGGTGATGACACGTCGCTGTAGTACTTCGTGCGGTGCAGCATCTGGCCCAATGCGCGTTGGCTTCTGTGAGCTCTTTTTTGAGGGACTCGAGAGATAGCGCCCCCACTTGGTCAGCAACTGCAGCATTGTTGTCGCGCTCGATTGTCGTTGGTGACGTCATCTTTGGTGGCTTGTCTTTCTTCCTAGGCTTGGGGAAGAGCCGTCTTTGCTCTCCTTGTCGTGCTTGCAGATTGAAGTCTAGGTGGTCGGCGTGTGCTCGCAGATGAAGTCCAGGCAGCACGGGTGCTGATCGAGCTTATCCATGCTCTCCTTGCCGTGTACCCACGGATGGCCTGCGTTAGACCGATCGTTTCTGTCTATGTGATTGATTGGAAACTGGGCATGCAACATATGCATATGGAAGTAGATATTCTTGGAGTTTTTTAGTTAGTCTCAACCCTGAAAATACTTGGTAGGCTCCACGTTAACAAGAAACTCTCAATAGAAACCAACTCATTCTCTCTCTGTTTTTTTTTGAACGAAACCAACCCATTCAATCCAGGGCGATAACAAATTTCTCCTCAACCACCGTCTTTTCTCTCCCCTTATCCTTTCCTCTCGCCATCTCGTGAGTCTCGTCCCCATCCCTTTTCTTCTCTGCGCGAGATACGACGGCTCAGGCAAGGCGTGCATGACGCGGGCGGAGGGTGGGTGCGTGGCGTGGCAGGGGTGCTCGTGGACAGGCGCGTGGTGGCGCGGCGCGCCGGCGTTGAGCGCAGCAGCACATCGGTGAGCGCGGGCGCATGCGACTGCGCGACGGGGAGCGCGAGCTCTTGTATCCGTGCGACGGCGACCACGCGGCAGCTCGCGCTCGCGCTCGACTGTGACCACGCAGCGTCGTGCGCATGCGAGAGCGCTGCAGCCGCATGGGTGAGTAAGAAGGCAAGCTCGTTGAAGAAAATACTCCTTCGCCCTCAACGCCAAATCTGTCGGAACCGACCCGGATTAGCACACGACGGGAGCACGTGGTGTCCGACACGGTGTCGAAGTCTTGCGGGCGATAGGCAGCGGGAGCGAGGCGATGATTAGCACACGACGATGACAATAATGATTTTTTAATGTAGAGATAGAGATTACAGGAAGATAAACTCAAATGTGTTCATGTGGATGTTCATCACGATGACATCTTCGAGCCAATGGAGGGATGTAAAGTCGGTTTAACTTGGTATTGGTTGTAATGGCCTCGTCTTCCCCCGTCTCTCGCGTCGCCCCCACGGCGGCGGAGCCCAAGACCGTCGCCACCGCTGAATCCCCCCACTCGTTGCCGGCGTGCTTCCCATCCAAGCTCCCAGATTACGCAGATCCATGCCCGGTCTCCCTCCCCAGCGCCATCCCGACCCAAAACCTGGCCCCCACCTCCGAGATCCAGCTCCAATCCCCACCCCAGCATCCATTGCGCCCCACCAAGCCCCGCCTCAAATCCATCGTGGTGGCACCGTCGCCATGCACAGATCACTCGCCCCCGCACAGATCGATCGTCCTCCCTTGCAATTCTGGGCCAATCAAGAAGGTTCGGTTCAATTTAGCTGGGCGTCCTTCCTCGTCAAGCGCTGGAGATCCGCGAGCTAGCAAATCCTGCCTTAGATCTGCATTGACTGGCTTATCAGCTATAATGTACGGTATTTTTTTCTCACAATAAAATAGCTTTAGTCGGCTTATCAGCTTCGGCTTATCAGCCGGTTTTAATACCAGCCGAACAGTGCTGCTGCTGTTCTTTCCTGTTCCCTACCCCCGCCGCCCCCACCACCACGCCTCGACGACACCAACTTCCCACCCCTCTCGCCCCCAGCCATGGTTCGGCACGGCGACCCGGCAGCGCACCCCATGGATGCATTTGCGGTGGCGTCATCCACGGGGGACATGGAGCGCGAACTGGCGCACCTGTCCTCCCACGCGTTGCTGGCCTGGCTTGGCAAGGACCGGCCGACGGTGGGCCTTGATGTCATCAAGCGGACCTTCTGCTCCTACTTCGTTGTGCAACCAGACGACATCACCGCTGCGAAGCACTTCCTGGAAGACTACTTCATCGACTTCAAGCATCGCCACCACCGGGATGCGGCCGTCGATCAACGAAACTTCCCCTACGACAACCTCGACATCCGCATCCGACAGTGGCAGCTCCCCACACATGGCGACAACAACAACCTCAGGTACCACGTCCGCCTCTGTCTGGAGGGGGTTCCACTACACGCATGGAACGAGAGCATCGCCAAGCGGGTGGTGGCCACCACCTGTGACCTGGACTACGTCGAGGAGCAGTCCCTACTCAAGGACAAGGAAGACACGAGGGCCCTCAACCTCTGGGCCTAGACCTGCAACCCCTCGAACATCCCCAAGGTAACATGGCTTACCCTCACTGGCAGGTCAGTGATGGTCCACGATAGCTTGGCCCCGCCGGCAGCGTCCAGTCGTGGCAAGCGTGGACTCACCTTTCGGGTGATTGTGCACCTGGATCTTGTGGAGGACCCAGCGGACAGGGATGGCCGCTCCGACATCCATGACTACAAGTGGCACTACAGGGTCATCGACGGCGAGCGTGTGCCACGGGATCACCACGACCCTCTTCCGCGTGACCATCATGACAAGCATCGCCACGATGATGACGACTACGGTGACGATGGCGACGAGCGCCGCGGACGCCGCAGACGCAAGGAGGAAAGCTGGAGCTACCGCTTGTTCCGGAGCCTCTCGCGCGCTCCCAAGGAGCGGGAACGGGAGCTCTCTGAATCGAGAAGGGGCTATCGTTGGGACAGGAGCTCTGCAGCAGGCAGACGTCGACACCTGCTTGAGGGTGGCGAAGCCAAGAACGGTCCCATCCTAGAGCATCGTGGCAGCCACCAAGCTTCCCAGGATGCTGTGGCTCCCAACGAGCGCGGCATGCGCGGCCGCGGCCGTGAACGCCATCAACGTCGACGCACCGAACGACGAGCAAGATCGGAGCCCCGTCCTCATCCATAGCCACGGGAAGCGTCCCTAGAGGTAAGGCCGTGCTACAATCCGGCCACCCCTCTAAATGGCAACGACAACAATCACCTCTCCCCGCAACCACCCATGGTACGTTCTGGTATGCAGGTTGAGCT